ATGACGCAGTGATGCTGAGGGCTCCCACGAGCCTCTGCCTCCCCTAAAGTTGACTTTAGAACAAACTGGAGAAAAACACACGTGTGGGGCGGATGTTCTGCGGGTTCTCTGTGTGCAGCATGAACGGGTCTGGCCCCTGACTGCGCATCGGACAAACAAAAACACAGATCATTAAAAATGGCGAGCTCCATGCCGTTAGGTTTTCCATACAATGAAGCAGCAAATCCCCGCGCTGCCTCTGTGCGGGCCTTGCTACCGCAGCGGCGACTACCGTCACTTTCCAGCACTGCCGCACGTTTCACATTACACGCTGTCAAAACGTCAACACACAAACTAGCACACAACCGAGCCATCGTGTGATTCGCGGTCATCGTGCTGGATTGCAGTAATCAGCGCTCAATCACTCAGCTCGTCCTCCCCCGCGGTCAATTTAGCAAATCGGGATTGACGCATCTGCGTTAGCATTAGCTAGGTAGCTATGTAGCTGTTAGCCACACAATCACAGTACACGGGCCGTTATTAGCTAACATTAGCCGGGATCACTAGAACCGCAGAAGGCGCAGGAATGAACGCAAATGGCAAAACATCACCGAGGCCGAGTGCGTTGCATCGCCGTTAGAGATGAATGAAAAATGTCGAGATTACGTGAAGGAGACGTTTAGGGCCCAGCATTCGTGCAGAAGCCAAATCGGACGTTGCAAAATACAAGCCACCATTTTGGAACGCTACACACCCCCTCCGTGAGCATTAGCCGATGAGCTAACTAGCATGCTAGCCAGCAAAAGCACGCAACGAAGCGGGCCTCGGAGCTAATTCACTAGTTTACAATTAGCTGTCCCGTTAGCGATTGTTCGGTTTTACCAGCTTACGGTGGGATAAAAGAGACTCGGCTCTGCCTCCACCGGATCCCTTCACAGCAAATACCAGCCGGTCACATTCACCAACTTCATGTTTTAGCAGCCGAAGTAGTAGATTTGAACCCCGGGGGTTGGAGCTGGTGTGCAGGCCCACGTTTAATTTACAAGCCAAACGGACACGATGCAAACCTGCACAAACCTGAGAGATGGAGTCAAGTTAGCATGTCGAACAGTTATTAACAAACTGTATTAAAATGTTATTTACACGGAGCTTGTTACGTTATTTACTGTGTCGTTTACTTTAATGAGAAACACCGGTAACTGCCTAAATCCACCCAAAGCCTGCATTGAAGTCAAAGTAGCCAGATTAATTTACCCAGTGATGGATCCATGTTAATTGTACGACCATCAACCACGTTGTCTGCAAACATTTAGATTATCGGCAGCCCGTGGGCCTGCAGCCCGGTGGGAGCATGTGGAAGCGGCGATGATTTGGCAAACTGCATCCGATGTCTTGTTATTGAGTTAAAACCTGAGCAGTTCACTCGGAAAAAGACAGTGACCCGTCTGAATGAATGATTTCTGGGGCTGATCTGCAGCACTGTGGATAAATGTCGTCTCCTGGTTCGTTTACATGCAACGGGATAATACGGGCACAGGAATTGGAGCATAGAAATACAAGCTCCGCTCGCTAATAACGCAAAATGAGGTCAGCTCCACACAAGTATGCTGCATCGGGCGCACAATCAGCAAAACGCAAGCCGGCTATCCTGACTAGCTTCGGGCCTTCGTGTTTACTGTGTGCGACTCATCTTGCACGAATGAACAACCGTGCAGATGTAAAATTTAACATGCGAATGGGCTAAATTGTCCGTTATCTCCTCTTAGCACCATTACTCACCTTCCATCTCCATGTCCTCCGGCTCACTGAGCTGCTGCTCGCCGGCTTTCTGCTGCTGCTGTTGCTGCTGCTGCTGCGTGTGGTGATGGTTCATGTTGGCAGCTGTTGTTGTTGTTGTGGTCGCGGTGCGGTGCTCCCTGTTATCTCTGTTCCCCTCGACCTTGTCCAGGGTCGACTCGGAGGGGACCCGGGTTCTGGGCTGCTGGCGAGGCGCGGTAGGATGCGGAGGTGGGGTGGACAGGTCGAGCCTCGGCGGCCGGGCCTGCTCTGCTGCGACCTCGGCCTTGTCCGCTGTCAGCGCCGGGGAGTGAGGAGGGGAGGTCGGCGGGGGAGCGGGTAGAGAAACGCGGACGTATTTGCTCGCTATTCGCCCAATCTCGGCGCCTGTTATGGGTGCGAGTCGCTGGCTTGACGGCGGGGGTGGGATGGATGGACCGGGGCTCCGAGGAGGGAGGCCCGCGGAAAATTTGCTAAATCAATCCGTCTTTACCCCGGGAAATGTGGGGCAGAAAGACAACTCACAGCACGACCTGCACCCTGACGAACAAATACCCTGGTTGTAGCTAGCGTGCAGCTACCTGACACTAGGCAGCCACCGAGTGATAAAGGTGCAACAACAATGAAAACAAAGGCTCATTTGCAGTAGACACACACTCAACAACTTTCCTGGCGATGTCCCCAGTCCGTGTGCTCCTCCGATTGTCCCTCGTCTGGGGGAGAGCGGAGGGAGAAGCTATCCATTCAAACCAGTTTCCAATACGGAATAGCACTGATGTTAATTTGGAAGTTAGCGGAGACAGAGTTGCCGCGGCCCGACATGAACAGATATCCGCCGAAAACGATCAACGACGAGACGCGGCACCTCGTTGCATTTCCAGCTAAACGGCCCCGTGTGTCTGGTGAGGAATGTGCCCGGTCATACGACGGTGGCCTGAGCTGTGTGGCTCTCAACCCGCTTCTCCAGTGCGCCGCGATGTGCTGGGTCTGAGGTAAATCTCAAAATGGCGGTCGCGCTCTTCTCTGAAATGTCACATCCGCATGGAGATCCAAACACTGGCCCATCCCCGGCCAGGTTCACATCCATGTTGAGCGACGCGGATCCGGCGTGAGCATGCGATCCCGAGTGGAATAGTACCAACGACAATCACCCCGATGAATGAAAACCACAGGGATCACCATGGGTTCCATGGCTGGGCTGTATATTGAGATCAGTGGTTTATAACGAACGGGGGGGAAAATAACAATGTCTGAACAAAAACTTATGCACTGAAATAAGTTCTTTTCATTCATAAGAGCTCATATCCTTTACTGCAGCTTACTGCAAAAAAATACTTATTTGTTAACAGAGCAGTGTTGCAAATCGTTCTGTAATGCACATATATATAAATATATAGTATATAAATGCTGCTTATATTTCTTCTCGTCTTTACACTGTATATACTAGTTTCATTGTATTCAGATTTTTTCTTTTATATTCCTTACACTTAAGTATTGCATGTTACTTATTACTTGCTGATGTCTTTTTGGTAGACTTGTCTCCACATAAAGAATTATCTCATATAGATACTCGCTGCTGTGTATATATATATCACCCATTAAATCAAATGAAAAATGTTTTTATCCATTAACTTTGCAGCTCTTCACTGTTGGATTTAACTTCTTCAACTAAAAAAAAACAACTAAAACATGAATGCGTTTTTTTTATTCCACTGTAGTTTCTTGCAGCATTTCAATCTTCAATAGGTCAATTTCCATTCAGAAATTACGCAAACAAGTGAAAAATAATAATAAACTGAAAAAAGTATTATTTGCAAACAGTGATGAGGGGAAAAACACTTAATGATTTAATCTACATATTCCATTATACAGTCTAGTGAGCTTTGAGGTGTCTTTATAGCTTCAGCCATGGGACTATTTCTCAATCAATTGTAGCTATTAACCCCAATTAATTTATAATTATGTCTGATTCTTATTATTTTTAATTTCTGAAGTAGATATACAGTCTGTTCTGGCGATGCTCCTCAAATTCGTTCTCAAAAGTTTCCAGGGGCCTGTTACTCCCAAAACAACATTTTTTGCTGAGAAGTACTGTACTACAAGGTTTAATTAAATGAAGGTAATTTGCAGAAAAGCGGCAACAAACTAGGTATTATTGCTGAAGCACATACTTATACTTGAATTGTGTGTCCACCAAATGAAGTCTGCAATCCACAACATTTGAAGTGAGGCCTGCAATTAACAATGCTGTCGATTTGTTTTTCCATTGGGAGGACAACAGACAACCAAACATGAATTATTCCCTCATCAAGACCGTGTTCCTCTGTATGTTACTGGTCCAGCATTTAGCTGATCCTCATCTGCAGTGATGAAACCAGTGATGCCTGACACTGACTCCTCTTCACATCCTGTGTCAATGGCACCATCCAGTGGATAAATCCAGTCAGATGCTCTCGCAGTAGAGTTTTTTATATTGTCTGGCTCACTCTCGTTTATTTCATTTCACTAAATGTTGGTCATTAGAGTTTTTTTTATAAGCTTTTTTAAAGTTAGCACATGGACTTTCCAGCCAGTTAAAGGATGCCACCTAATATAGCCCTACTGCCTATGTTTATCTTTATTTAATTTTTTACATTTTATATCTCTAGTCTTGTATTTTAAGTTTTACTCTTGCACAGTTTTTCACTTCTTTTTATTTAAAATCTGCTGTACCATAATTATACAGGCTGAGTTAGTCTAATGCACAACTTTTGTATAGCTTCAGTTATGTTTCTATAAATCTGTATTTATATTTGGCTTCAATACTCGGTGCCTCGGTTACTTGTGTATTTCAATCACCTTATACTTAAAATATGTGTATTGTGAGTGTCTCCATTAACACATACTTCTTTACAATGACTGCTTTGTAATAGTTCTGGTGGCTAGACTCTCATCTCACTGCATTGGACTTGTTCTTTACACAAACATTTAGACCAATATAGGGAAAATATAATAAACAGTAATTATCAACACATGCATATCATTATATTATATTATATTATAAACTGTGCTCTCTCGCAAGCTTTAGTTTTAGGTCATTTTGTACAGGGGTTCTTTTGTGTCAATGCTGTGACGGACGAGCCGCAGCTCCAATCAAATTCAGATAAAAGACCCTAAAGCCCACCCATACAGCTGCGTGCGACCAATCATCGTTGACGTCTACAGCGATGGGCGGGACGAAGCGGATAACAGGATAGTCTGCGTTGTATATATAAACCGACGTCGGCAACTAGGAAAAACAGTGAGCTAAGCGTCTCCTCCCTGATGACACTGCTAGCATAGAGGAAGCTTATGTTACAGTGCGAAGAAGTCAAAACTGTAGTAATACCCATTATTCTCCCTCATAACTCTTTACGTAGTCCCGATTTACTCTGTTTTATAAAGATTAACAGCGCACCTCCTCGAGTTCTGGTGCGTTAAATGGAGGAGAAGAAGGAAGACGGAGACTCGGAGATACAGGAACACGGACCCGAGCACTGGTTCTCAAAATGGGAGCGGCAGTGTTTGGCCGAAGCGGAGCAGAGGGAGCCGAGCGAGGAGGAGGCCGACAACGACCAGGATAAACTGTGGCACCTCTTCCAGAACTCCGCTACCGCTGTAGCACAGCTATACAAAGGTTCAAAAATAGCGTCTTTGTCTGGTTGTTGGTCCGGTGGCACCTCCATTACAGCTGAAGCCGATGGCTCGGGGGTTAGCATCCTGGTAGTTTACCTCCCGTTACCGTCAACTAACACCAGCGTCAATGCTGCTCGGATGCTAACTAGCTTTGCGGCTAACTCGCTGGTCAGTACGGGGCAACGTTTACAGCTGATTTTGCAATACTAAATTTAGCTAGCTTGTGCTAGCCAGTGACAGAAAACAGTCGCGAACTCGAACACACCAGCAGTTTCGATTGTGAACCAACGACACAGAGATCGACTGGCACAATCCAAAAGGGTTTCCCGTGATTCACTGGGATATCTTTGTCAGTGAGCTACCTTGTTGACACCAAGTTAAAGACAGCAGCGCGCAGCTAACGTAGCCATGCTAGTAACAAAATGGCGATGGTAACAACAACCGTAGCTACGCGACATTCCCAGATGACAGTCTCTTGAACGCTGTCACCGTTACTGACTGTTACACCGGTCGCGAGTTGCTATAACAATGTACTTTAACGATGTAAAGTCCGCAGCCTGGTTGTGTGGACTTGCTTTGCAGAATATCTGGGCTGCTGAGTGAGCAGTTCTGCAACGCATAGCTGGCGTTATAATCACAAAATGGCGAGTATATTATTGGTTCGATGTGGAAATGTCTTTGGATTTGTTGTGGTCGTTGTGTTTCTCGGACAAAACAAATCACGGAGAGCTTAACTCGGCGGGTCCCTCCACGTTTGGCATGTTTGACATGTCTTTGCAACTTTACTGCTGAGGGCGCAGTTAAGTTGGTGTGTCAGTGCTTTCTCACCAAACAAGCTGCTGCCAAGCTAGCCATCTAATGTTAGCGCTAGCCCACAGTTATTTTAATGCCTAACCCTGTCCCTGCAAATGTGGATGCAAGACAAAATGGCGAATGGAAATGATCTTCACCTCATCCTCCATAATCACCGGACGGTCGCTCTTCTCGTGCTGTTGTCCTCTGGTTCTCATGCGTTTTAACATCACAAGTGTGCTTCCTTGTTTTAATCATGGTCTCTCGTCACGTATAGAAACCAACCAAATGTCCCCTTTTTCTCCCACAGACAGAGTATGCCACCAGCAGGGCCTGTCATTGTGGGTGCCATTTCAGAACGCGGCTACAGCAGTGACCAACCTCTACAAAGGTATCTGCCCACATCCCTCCTCTGCCTGTCCTTGTGCTCTTGAGCAGGATTTACTGATGTGCCCACAGCTACACATACTGTTTGTGTTTCGCTCCATCAGTACAGGGCCATCACTGTACTTGTTAGTTCGGTATCTATCAAGTGGGATCTTATGGGCTCCATCTCTTACTCCTGGTTTTTTTGTTTTGCTGTTGTTAAGAAAAATGTTTTTTTGTAATTCACAATTAACAGGATTTGAAACCAGTGGCTGCATTTTTGACAGAGGATCCAAGATTATAATGTTTTGAGCTAGTGAGGAGTTAATACCCTCGGGATCTAACACACAATTTGTGGAAAATATTTACAGTAAAGTACAGAATCAAAATTATATTAAAAAGCACAAAATGTACGTTTACTAACAGTGTCTGGACCTGAGCCGACTCATTGTCACTGTTAAAGGTACAATATGTCAACATTTCATTTGGAATACATGATTATTGATGCTGGTTATATTTATGTTGTCTCCCACCATCGCAGAGAGTGTGGAGGCTCATCAGAGAAGCTTTGATCGGGGCATCCAAATAGGCCATCAACGCCGCAATAAGGTGGGTCTCATTCTTCCCCTGCATTTTGGAAGGCAGTTCAGTTTTCCTATATCTGGACTTAGCTGCATTAGGTTTACACTTGCATTGGATTTCAGGACATGTTGGCCTGGGTGAAAAAACGCCGGAGAACCATTCGCAGGGAGGATCTTATCAGCTTTCTGTGCGGCAAAGCACCACCACACAGGAGTAGCAGGGCTAACTCCCGGCTGGCCATGGTGGCCCCTAGTCGAGCTAATTCACCAGCTGAGACCGGCTCATCTGTGGAGGCAGACCTCCAGCCCTTCAGGGAGGCCATAGCACTGCATGGTAAGTAAGATTTAATATAAGTTTTGCTCAAAGCTTGGACACTAGTAGACATTCTACACACCTTTAAAAAAACTTGATTTACAACAGTAGAGGCAGCTACATTGTTGGAAAGAAAATAAGTGCTACCACTGGTGGTGTTGTCTAAGCACGAACAACAGGATGTGAGTTTGCGAGAGTAAACGAGAGTTTGTTTGTCCTCCAGCCATCGTATCTGCCACGTGTGGCTCAGAGATAAGGGCATGGAAGTGTTGGTTAGAGAAGTCCTCACCTTTTTAGACCCTCCTGTGTGTAGAGCAAACATCTCATAAAACCAAAAGTCAAGTAGATTTGTACATGCATCTGTTTCTGTTTGTAATTCAGCTGCTTTTCAACTCTGGTTTGCTGTTTGGGCAAATGAATATTCAGTACATTATCTGAAGGACCTCACATTTAAAGGGGCCATTTTAGGGTGTAGCTGAGGGTAAGGGTAGGGTTATGTCAGGCATTTGGTGGTTAAGGTTACAGATACACAAGTCCCATCGTGTCAGGACATTCAGTCTGTCTTTCTCAGTTATCGGATACCTTTTGCATTTCACCCTCGATGTTTGTGTGTGTTACGATTGACAAAATTTAAACTTACTCATGATCATTTTCTTCTATTGAGTGCATCCTTGACTTTTATAGACTATATTTCTAACAAATCTACAGGACAAATCAGTTGTGTATTTCTATAACATCACAACTGTGGCAAACACCACTGTGACATTTGTTGGGTTAAAAAAGGGAAAGCATTACAGTGAATCCTTTACATACTTGAGGACAATCAGAAGGATCTTTCATTCCTCCAGTCCAGAGATAGGAATGGTTTCTTGATTGGTTTACCACAGTGTGGTTTGAAGTTGCACCTGTCACCTCCCTTGTTAAGTCACAGGCACTGCAATCATGTGTTTTCATTGCTGCAGGAGTCATTTTGTTCAGCCTAAGCTTTGGCACAAAGTGATTTTTGTGAGATGGCAGCTCCCAAGTGCTGTTTTGTGGCAGACACCCTAACAATGCTTCTCTGAAGGAACATGAACTTCGTGACCCACGTTCTTGTTTAGGATCCAAAATAGAGACAGTGTGAGCAAATGATGTTAACAAAGGCTAGATGATCACAGAGCTGATCACAGAGCTGATTACTTGCTGCGTGCTTACTTAGCTACATATTAACTCTATGATAAAGAAAAGCAACATGATTTACACCTGCAAAATATGTCCTGGATAAATACAGGCTTACATGTTAACACCACTCTGATCAGAACACTGTAATTTGGGGTGAGAAAAATATGAAGATGAGTATTGGACTGGTGTATCCCTGATGTGTTTGCTTGGTTTTAATTCTCAGTTGCGACAGATATGAAACAAGACTTATCATTGTAGCGATATTGCAAAAGCATTTGACACAATGCCATGCTAACTTGAAATTGAACACCCCATTTGTCTTACTTCTCCATCCAGCGTTGCTCTTGTCTCATTCTCCTCTTCGTCCCGTCTCCTCCCCACTTTAGGTCTAAGTGGAGCCATGGCAAGCATCAGTGTGCGCTCCGGTGCCCCAGGTTCTCCCACACATGTGAGCGGGAGCAGCAGTAATGGGGGCGGTGCTGGTGGAGGTGGTTCTTCTGGCGCGGGGCCGGTGTGCCGCAGCAGGCGCAATGGGCTCCAGGACGTCGACCTGAACACTTTCATCTCTGAGGAGATGGCTCTGCATCTGGACTCTACAGGCTCTGCCTCTGCTGGAGGGGTAGGAACCAGGAAAAGAAATTCCACCCAGTGTAGTGATGTCATCACAGACTCCCCTACTCACAAACGTAACAGGATGATCTGATCTTTTGCCCGCCTATGTGTATGAGAGGGAGGGGGGAAGCCTTCACAGCCAAGGCAGGGAAAGTTGGGGTGGATGGGCTGATATGTGACAGATGCGCAGATGGACGGGCTGACGCTTCAGATGCCTGGCTGTGGAAAAGAACCCAGGTTGAAAACGGGACTGTAGGTTCTCGGTTCAGTCTAATCAGATGTTGGATGCATTATTTTCCTTGTCTCCTTTTCCGACACTATTACTACAAATCACTGCTCTGCAATCGGGACACTTTGTGTGAGAGAGACTGGGAGGTCTGGTCAACGTCACACACTCCTCAGACATCGCTACCCTGGAAAGGAGACAATGAAGGAACCAACACGTTCTGGGATGCGGACAGTTCTCAAAGGGTTGAAAATGCACTGTGCTGCTTTACAAGTAAAAGCCACTTGATCCTTGACACATTTGTGCCCTTCCCTCCCTTAACCTCACTCATCCTCACCCACCACCTTAATAAGGAAGTGAGGGCCATGATCAAATCATCTCACTCAGTGAATCAAGTTGCTCGCCAAATGTTGGACCCAGCTCTATCAGAGACTCACCTCTGTGTCAAACAACCCAACGGTTTCTTTCTGTTACTTCATCATTGCAGCTCTTAGTTGACGTTGCCTGTCTGGTGGAGCTAATTTGCTAATTAGAGAACATCTGTGGCATCATCCTGCCTCATCTGCTCGTAACCGCCCACATTTCTCTGGTTACTAGACTGACGGCATGGAACTACCAATAGCAGGCTATTGATGTTCTTATTTTCTGCTAACTACTCTGCTTCAACTGTGACTTGATTTAGTTAAGCCAGTCGCCATTTTTGTTTTAAACCACCAGTGTTAAAATTCTTTGCCACTGTTCTCTCCACCTTGTTTTCTTTCCTGTTTTACGTTGTTTTTCTTTTGTTAAAGATAACAAAGGAAAAACTTCTTTGTCGTATAGCTTCACAGACGCCCTCTTCCCCCTCTACCCTGTACTTATTATAAAAGCAGCTCATGTTTTATGTGATAGTGTTATTATTCTGATGAGTTGCAATAAGGATTTTTCTGCACTTAGCTTTCACTTCCAACTCATGCAAATAAATCGGCTCTTCCTTTGTATCCAAGTTGTAGCCTTGTCCAGCCCTTAACAGGTCCACACATTGATTATCTGTTGGTGCTTAGAAGAAGTCATAACTTGTTATGATTTAGAAAAGATTTGGCTGTCGTGCACACTTCTGGTTCACTCTTTAAAAAAAAAAAAAAAAAAAAAAAAAAAAAAAAAAGGAGGGATCAGGTTGTGGGGCGTCTGCATGTGGGCTCAACTTGTGTTCAGAGACTGGGTTTTTTCCCCCTGACAAATAATTGAACGTACTGGACGATAATCGGTGCTGTAAACGAAGCTTAAATCACAGAAATGTTCTCAACAGTCCAACCAAACGCTGGAGTCTCTGGATGATCGGGCTGCGGTGTTTGATCGGTTGGTGGGAAAACGGTTCGCATTTTGTGTAAGGGGTGCGTGCATTAATAAGATGTGAATGGGTTTGTTGGTTTTTTTGAAATTTTTTTTAACTTGGTACAGGATGATGCAACTCTGGGCTCGTTTAGTTCTTGAAATGGTTGTTGCCTTCTGTAAAGGAGCAGAGACGGAGACACTGATATCACACGAGTCAGAGACGCGGGTATATATAGTTATTTGTAAAGTAATATTAACTGGTACTGTGTATGTGTATATATAAATATTTTAGGGTATTAACAAAAGATTATTGGAGTTAAATCTACAAAACTTGTTCGTGGAGTTGGAATATGCTTTCATTGCATAGGAAGATAACAAAGTGTAAACAATGAAATGTTGTCTAGTTATTAAAATCAATGATGGATATTTCTAGCGACGCCCTGCTGTAGTAGTGATACAGTAACTTTGACTTTCTGCCTGTAAATACCCGCTGTAGCTGACGTGTGCGATATCGATGTTTTCCCCTCTCTTTCCTGACTTGTTCACTCCCCCTTCACTTTTATAACCTGGAAAGTAGGTTTTGTTAAGTTGTATAAAAGCATGCCAGTTTTTAACCTCTGTTACATTTTGGTCACAGATTTCCCTTTTTTTCTTTCTTCTTCTTGCATTTAGTTTGGCTGTTATACTCATACATGATCGCTGGCTAGTCGGTGAAAGAAAAGAATCGGGCTGAGATTGGTTGATTCTGTCAAATGAAGAGCTCTGCATAGTTTTTTTTGTTCTTGCATAGAAGTGTAAAAAAAAAAATTCTGAATAAGACTGAAAATATAAACTTAATATTTGAAAAGTGAGATTTGATTTGTCTACACACAGAGAGCCTCTGATTACTGTGAATGTAGGTGAACAATAATCCACGGTCTAAATTTAAAGCAAGTTTTAGGTAGCGTCTGCTGTCACTGGTCTAGTGACTAATGCAACATAGGAAGGATCTTGAATAGGAATTTAACCCTAAATGTCACATTTATAGTCGGGTGAGTTTTAGTCTCTGGGATTCAGCCCTGCGGAGTCACCGTGGCAGAACGCAGTGAGACTGAGGCGGCGTGAATCCTGCGGACTGACCCGACCGCCCGTCCACACACTCTTCATGAAGTCAATATCTTGAATTTCCCTTCGACACTTAACTCCCTCTCTGATTCTCCTCATTGGCGTCAGTAGCATCGCAGACTGAAACCAAATTAGTAGTTGTAACCTCCCAGTGTTTGTTGTATGACAGCATGCCATTTTTAAAGGGACGATGAGGAAGTGAGTGCTGATAGAAAAACAGAAATTCACCAGAGTTGGCTGTGGAGCAGGGTCAAACCCCCACCCCCCACCCCCCACATTATTGTGGTTATGAGAGAGGGGGCACTTTGTGTTTTTTCTTTTCTTCCCCTGAGCCAATCACAGGCCTTCATTCACATTGTTTCAAGAAGTCTGACTCATGCCACGTGTCTCTGGAGCCAACACTATTATTAGCTGTTTCTTGATACTTATTTGTTTAAAAAGTAATAAATGGCTAATCTATATACTTAACATTTATTGTTGGTATGATATGTGGTTCACATTGTAAAATAAATAAAACCATTGAGTTGCAATTGGATGGACTGTTTCATTAAAAAAGGAAAATGTCATGAGTTTAGTTTTATGTGGTTGTTCTTCTTTGAACATTCGGTTTGTTCTATGATGCATATTCATTAGATGTAATTTGGTCTTTTTAGTATATTTAATTTGTGATCAAAAGACATCCAGAGACTCAAATCTGAACATTTCTCTCTGTTGTTTAGAGAATCTTTAAATTTCAGAGTTACAGTTATTCTTTCCCTGCACTGGTCATTGTTGCAGGAGATATTTAGAAGTGAAATTAAATAGCTGAGGTTTGTATTTGAAAAACTGTGGAGTTATTTTTATCCTCGCTCAAAGCACAGATGTGATTTTTTTATATTGAAGGTAAAAAAAAATAAAAAAAAATCAGAGGATCATCGTTCAGAGAGCAGCTCTGCTCCAGGCCACCAGGTGGAGCCAAAGGACTGCAGTAGAGTGTGTGATGACGTTGAGATGAACTCGCTGCAGGACTCTCACTAATGTTTCACGGGGAAAATAACTAATTCAAGAATAATAATAAAATCAAACTGTTATTATTACATTTGAGCAACACCAATTTTTAAAACTGAACGTTCTTTAAGAAAACTGAAAACTTTACACAAGTTTTTTTTTTTTTACATTCTTTTCTGAGCAAAACACTTGGAAATGAAGGATTTGTTTGTTAGCAACATTAAGTTAAAAAATAAAAACCAAACAGATGTTTAACTTGGAAAGAACCTGTACAACTAACCTGTTCAAGTTAGGTTCAGATAGCTTTTTTAAATTTCACTTTATTTAACATTAGGAGATATTTTCCCAGGGAATCATTTCTGGAACTCGATTTAAAAACCAGGCTCATTTAAGGGACTGATCTAAATTGGAGTTAATTAGTTGAAGCTTGGTTGAATTCGAACCTGTAACTCTGCCTTTAATACTCGATAAGGGACAGTTCACCCCAAAAATGAAAATTCACTCGTGTACTCACCACTATGCAGATGAATGGGGGGGGGGGGGCAGCAGCAGAATCCAGTACACGTGAAGTGAATGCAGAGAGCTTCTTCTGACGTCATGAAACAGAAAAACACACAACATGCCTCCATTCTGCTCTGGTGACGCCATCAAGCGTCTGTATGACGTCATTCACACCAAGTTTTTAAGCCTAAAAGTCCACTGATAGCTTCAGACGAGGTGCATTCAAGGACCGTCGGGAAACGCTAGCTTAGCTGTTCCCTGTGGACATTTAGGCTTAAAACTATGATGCACATAAACACTACACACACATTAAACAGGATTCACTCAAAAATCAAGTCAAACTCACACAGATTGTTTAAACATTTCTATTTATTTATATTCTTCACTATTTGAGTTTCTGGCTCCGGTGACGCTCAGAAAGTGACGGAGGAGCTAGTGTTCAACCGCAACATCGACAAGTCAATGCTATAGTTGGTTTGATTTTTTTTAAACATACTGAAGTAATCAATCATATTAAAGATTGACACGTTACATAAGCCAGTGAAGGTGAGAGCAGATATTCGTCAACATTAAAAATAAAATGGCGGTGACTCAAACAGTGTACTGCTTTGTGTCCAAATGATCTGTGGATATGAATAATGCTGTACAGCCAACATCTTCAAACAGAACTGCTGTTGCTTTGGTCCATGGATGTTACACAGTATCTTACAAGCTGTGTTCCCACATCCTTCAAACACCTCCACCCTTCACCTTCTTTTCTTTAGAGCTCCTCCACCTCCACATCTTCTCCCACTGCTGCTGACAGAGAGCGACAGCTGCCCACACAAGGGCGTCTCTCTTTCTCTGGGTTTCTGTGAGCACACCGACCAGGAAAAATATCATAAATAAACCAACAATAAGCAAAGGATTCATGGGAACCTAAAATACTAGCTGGGGGGGGCAAACATGACTGTGTTGTTTGCAGTTTGATAACAACCCACTGTCTTTCCAAATTTATCAGACAGACACTCTGGAGCTGCAAACATACAAACTGCCTCCTGCAGCTTTACCATATTCCATTAAATATGAGCTTTTCACACACATCATATATCTAAACAGGACCAATTGTTTTTCCTTTGTCAGAGAAACTCAAGACCTCTGGGAAATGATGGATAGAAGGTGAGCTCTCAAAGTCCATTTCAGTCTGACAGTCAAGACCCAACCCTGACCTGGAGCTGGCTGGAAAGGGTGTGGACCCTGCTGAGGGTTTAAAGTGTGTGTCTCAGATCTGACTGAGAGGCAGGAACTTCTGGTAGTAGCTCTTGGTTACGTCAATCATCAGGTCCTGTGTGCATTCTGGGAGCTCTCCTGAAAAAAGACCTGAGAGAGACACAGATTAAAACTGTTGAAGACATGATAGACACACAGAATGTGGAAGGGTCTTGTGTATGTTGGCTTCATGTTCCGCTGACCTGGGCATCCAGAGAAGACGGTGAAAGGCGGCACCACAGTCTCAGGAGGAAGCACAGTGTTGTCTAAGATCTTACAGCAATCCTTCAGCACACAGCGGCGGCCCTGAACGCAACACACAAGGTGGAACAAAAGCAAGTGAACAAACATCTACGGGTTCAAACACTTTCAACGACTTCAAGTGTCATTTGTGCAGTGGAACATAACCAGAGGTGGAGGTGGTTCACAACAATGTAGAGCAGCAGTAAAGAAGGAAAAATGAAAAGCACAAATCTGTAGCAAGAAATATAAAAAATGTCAAGATAGTTTTAAGATAACAAGATGTTGTGAAGTTGATAAGAATTATTCTTGGTGTTGAAATATCAGCATCTATCCAGCATGTGTCACTGTAAAGTGCTCTGACTTAAATTAACTTTTTTAAGTCTGCAGTTCTGCATCTGTTTAACCATTTGCTCATATTAGCAAGTAGAGCGAAATGTAATCTGTTGCTGCTGCAGCAAGACTGCGACTCAACTACACTTACATTAAAAATCTAATGCTATGTGTTTCCCTTCATTGTCCAACAAAGCTCAGTGTCTGCTCACTGAAGCTTGTCAGCAGTTTGTGCGGCTCCGGTGCATCTGAACATGACTAACATGTGACTGTTTCACCACAGGCAAGAGGAGACACTGCTGCCGATTATGTCTTCTCTCATTGGCTCTCAACACGGTCTCTATTTTCTGTCTTGGTTTTATTTCTGTTTCTATTCCACTCACTATGACACAGTTCTTCCCAATGTGGACGTAGGAACCGATCTGTGCTGCGTTGACCACGCAGTCCTCCTCAATGAAGACGTGGTCTCCAATGTGTAGCGGGAAGAACGCCACTCTGAAAGGAAACGGAGAGGGCAGAGGAGTTTAAGCGATCAGAAATTCAACACACAATATGTACACAAACAGCCCACTGGTTATTATATCTGCAATATAGTTACACATTGCAACTCAAGATGAAAAATCTGACAAAAAAAATGCATTAAAACGTGTCTGCATTGAGATTTACAGGTCAACATGCTTTGGGACTCAGCTCTAGTCATATTTTTACTGAATGTTTAAGTCTCTTTCAGGTCTGAAAAGCTTCTGCATAACATTTAACTATATTTGCATTGGTTGCATGCAGTGGACCGGCTTTTATTTTCGGATAATTAATAATAATACACGCTTAGTGAGTACTTCATATCACCTAGCCCTTGGTCAAATACTGCAACCAAGCGATATCACTAATACACACAAGATGATTGAGGTTTGAATCATATAGACAATACAATCAGATATTCTCAATGGGGCTCAGTTCTAGTCAGGATGTTTGGAAGGTTTGACGTTAAGAGGAAGGTGCTTTACCCTTTGCTGAACTTTTTGAAAGGTGGTCGGATAACACTCCGACTCTTCACCACGCAGTGTCTGCCCACCCTGACGTTAGCCAGGTCTCCTCTGATGATGCAGTCGTTCATGACAATGGTCTGGAGGACACACACACACACACACACACACACACACACACACACACACATTAAACCAGCTATATCAAATCATCAGAACATCATATTTGCATAAAAAGAAAACTGTAATCCAGCACAATTCGATTGTTCAAATCTCAAATCAAAAATACATTTGATCTTGTCTGTGTCTCTCTCATCTGGCTTCACCCACTGATTTTAATTCTATTGTATTATTGTGTGTTTATAAGCTGTGTTGTCATTTCAAGGTGCCGTGAAATGAGCTGTATTGTGACTGTTGCTATAAATCAATGGCAGCCGTGTGTATTTCCTTCATCCCTTACTTTGCCATTGAGGACGATGTTCTGACTCCCGCACAGCACCGACTGTCTGCTCACTTTGTTCCCAGAAGCCTGAAATGAGACAGAAACGTCGGTTAACATTTGTCTTTCATATTTGTTTCTGTTTTTTTAATTTTATTTCCTGTCTCATCTGAGCAACAATGAACGTTTCAGTGAATCCAACACGCCCTGCTCAGCTGCAGCTAGCCAAACAGCTAGCGGCTAGCTAGCCAGCTAGCTAGCTAACAAACAGTGCATATCAGGCGTGTTACCGTCTCGATGTACTCCGCTTTGTTGTACAGCAGCTCAGACAGCTCCATGGCTCAGAGTCTGGAGGAGTGAACCAGCCGCAGATGAGTGTTCGATGGAAGAAAGCCTCTAACGCATCGATGAGTTCGGGATCTTTTCTCTGAGCCGTCAACCGACTGCGATGGACGCCTCCTCAGACACGACGAGCCGAGTGCAGAATCATCGATGAACAAACTCAAACAAAATCAGATGTTAAGATTTAAATGAAGTATGAAACTAACCCGGTGCTCCGAGACATGTAACATTGTTATACACCTGCTTTCGTGTGCTGTTTATTTTCCACCTTTTATATGTTTTCATGTTTATTCTTTAAAGTGACCTTGTTTCCGACATAAACGTGTTTGTCTGGCCTCCATGTCACGTTGCATCCTTCTGATTGTTATTTCTCTTGATTTTTGTAAACTCTGTTTCTAAAAGGTTCGATACAAATTAAAAGTATTATTATTATTAATCCGTAACATTGCTCTGCGCTCGATTGTCTTTTCCTCGGGTGAATCCAAGCTATTTCGCACCTTTAATACATTTTTTAAAAATCAGTTTAAATTATTTAAAATATATAATTTCAGTGAATGACGCAGTAAAACCTAAAAAGAAAATTTAAAAAACCCGCAGAATAAATAAATACGTTGTTTCGTGCGCATGCGCACTGCGGAGCCCTTGACCCTGTTTCTTCCTCGCGTTGCACGCCGGGAGCTCCAGTCACCTCTCTCCGTCATGGCGGCTCGTGTCCTGACGCAGTGTGTCCGCTCTCTCGCCCGGCCCTCCCTGCGGCTCTGCTCCGGCAGCCCGGCGGTCCGAGCCGCTGTCGCCCCCGCAGCAGCCCTCCACCGACCCGTCTCCTTCGCCGCAGGCAGCCGGAGGACGCGGTGGCTCGGCCAGAGCCCGGTGAGTCCCCCGGTAACATTGAGCCGTCGTGGCCTAGCGCGCGACGCTGTGACCTACCGACGCCTTTCAAATGTGTCCGCCTCACCTCGTCTGTCAGAGCCCGCGGTGGCGTGAAGACGGTTCATCATCACACCGGTGATCGTCCACCGGGTTCCAATTCAGCCTTTAGTCCAGGAAACGTGTCGTTGTTCTGCTCACACATCAGCCATGTTTTGTTGTTGGCTAACGAGCTAGCTAGCAAAGTTGACTTGAGTTCATTGACACACGTTTGTGTTGCTTCTCTCGTGTCTCCTGCAGTTTACAATCATCCTGCACAGGCACACATCCGCCTGTAGACAATGTGTGGTTCGTTCTGCTGCATGAAGCACAAGAGCTCAGATTGTAAAACGTGTGATCCTCAGGCGGAGGTTCTTGTGTTGCTGGGTTAGTGTATTTATTGTAATTGGGAAACGTGATCATTTAAACTTGAGTGTGAGTGTGAGTCAACTGAAGTCAGGAAAATAGTTAAATGAAGGAGAAACTCTTGAATTAGTCAAAATAAAGGAAAACTTCATCCACACTACACACACATCATTGAGAAACTCCCAGGTGTCAATTTGTGTATGTCAAAGTTAGACAACCATCTCATTTCCATGTGTATTATTTTATCCATCATCGTTTCTTCTTTGTAAAATACTTTGTAACGTTGTTTAGGAAATAACTATATAATAAAATATTATTATGAGCTGTTACTTCCAGACTCATGGAGCACAGTTTGTTGTCAGCTTGTTTCTACAGCAGTTTGTCCCACACCTGTCTTCACGCTTCCCCGTCAGCTCTGTCTCAGACGCTCTCTCCTCCTCCTCAGGTCTCCTCAGTGGGCGTCTTGTGCCGACAGTATGGAGACATGCCCCCCCTCACCATAGAGACCATCAAAGACCGCGTCATGTATGTGCTCAAGCTCTACGACAAGATCAACCCAGAGAGGGTGAGTGTGTCAGACCGACACGTTGAGCTCTGACAGTGGTTGAGTGGTTGAGTCTTCTGTCACTAATGATGTATTTGTTAATGTAAGTTTTGATTTCCGCTCCGCAGCTGATGACATCCTCCCACTTCATGAAAGACCTGGGTCTGGACAGCTTGGACCAGGTGGAGATCATCATGGCCATGGAGGATGAGTTTGGTGAGTTAATTCACATTCTGTTTGTGCAGCAGCTGCTCGCTCAGTAATCTCTACTGAAATCTACTAGTTGATGGTTGAGGCAAGAGCTTTGAAAAGTAACGATGTACGATGCCGCTGATTGTCTTTTCCAGTGCGAGTTTGTGTTCAGAAAAGGGACATTAAAAGTAGGCCATTAAAAACTATAGCTAATCAATGAAACTGAGAAATAAACTACTCATTCTTTGATTAGTCTGAAAACTCTTTGTCCTGTTTTCACCCCAGAACCTCAACATCTGCTCTGAAGCACAGTTCTGAACAGTTAGAGACGTGTTTGTTGGATCTTTGACTCAGTGTGTGTTTCTTCTTTCTCAGGCTTTGAAATCCCAGATGCAGAAGCAGAGAAGCTGATGACTCCTGAGGAGATTGTACAGTACATCGCAGACAAGAAGGATGTTTATGAATAATCAATTCTTATTGGTCACTACAGCGGTACGCCTCGCTCGTCTTACACACACCCCCTCCCTCCCTCCCTCCCTCCCTCCCTCCCTCCCTCCCTCACAATTTAATGGTATACATTTCTTTTTCTTCCAGAGATGTTGACCCCAACATGATCCACACAGGAAGTACTTGTGAAGCAGACGGGCGCCAAAACATTTCCCACTTCCTCCCTCGTCAGCTCTTCTGTTTGTTGCGGCATCATTGGCGTCAGCTGCCGTGTCTCGTGTTTAACTGTATTTAATGAACATGTGCTTTAGGGGAGAAAACAAAATATTACACAAGGTTATATCACAGTTTTGATTTTGTTGTTGCTGTTTCAGCTCCAAGTTGTTCCGATGTATAATTTCTCATGAATAGATCAATAAAGACACATGTTGTGTACGTTTGAGTTGTGGCTCTGATATTTGAAATCTTTCACTAATTGATTGTGCTGAAACACCAGTTACCAACTCCAGGGGGCAAAGTAACTTATGCACATATCTACTTAGGCTCAAGTTAAAATCAGAATGTGATTTTTAGAGTAAGAGGTTTTAGTTTGGTTTTTGTATTTCAACATGTTTAAAATATAAAGACATTTTCCCAACACATTAAAAATGAGCTGATCGTGTCTGAGAGGAGTAAGAAGTGAATTCTTACGTCCTTCACTTCTTTTGTCCATAATTCATTGCTGCAGGTATCACCTGTCATGATAAACAGCTCAATCACTAACAGCCAACATGAAAAATTACACAGCGAGAACAGAAAAAGAAAATTAATGAATTTCCCCATTCTCCATCTTGCTGTGTTACCTTCCCCCCACAATCATCCATTTCATACGTAATAAGGATGTTGGCATCTCATGAGTCCAAAGTGACTGTAGACAAAACTGGACAATAACAGACGGTGGCAGGAAACCTGAATAACGGAGCATTTGCTGAAAGATTTGTGGGAGTTATGGGTAATGATGTAGGATGCAGTGTTTTTACAGTCAGACCTATTTTATTATGTCTTATATGGTTTTAACCAAAACCAGACTTCATACAAAGACGACACAAAAGTGGAGCCAAAGCGTCGGGATTGCCCCCTGGTGTATGTCACAAACCCCTCCTCCTCCATGTTAGTGGCTGGGATGTGAGAAGTTAAAGTACACATTAAATATATCTCTAAAATAGGGTTCTTATGACACATGGATCTTCAAATGTATTTTTTTTATTTTTGAGTTTGGTTCTAATTAGTTATATGTTTTAAAGTGAATCATTCTGATTTGAAAACAAGATGAGACGTCATGTTTGACAGCTTGAAACTAAAGTTTCCATCCCCTCTATTGCTTCTACGAATTACTGAGCTCGAAGGCCACAAGATGGTGGAGTTCATGACTGGGATATTGATTTACAGTCTATGCTCAAAACAAAAACATGGAAGTGAAACTTTAGGTCGACTTTAAACAGCTCATCGGTTAAAAGCCGTCACAGATTCATGCTTCTACTTTTACCAACACGCGGATGAGGAGAAATAAAGAGTCCAGGACGTGACCACGGTCATTGTTAGTCTTTTATTGAGGGTTGTACCCAAGTTATACAGCTTTGTATGCTGGCTGCAGGAGCCAGAGGGTTACAAACAGTAATCAGTATACGAGTACAGCCAACAGAAGACCTACTACCTACTACTCTACACCTTAGTACAGATTCTCTTAAGAGCACTAAAATCCAGAAAAATAAGGAGAAAAAAAAAAAACATAACAAACCAAGCAACAAAAGGAGAATAAAGAGTAAATGAAACCAAATAGACAGACAGCATCAGAGGAGACATTCATTATTAGAGCACACTGGAGTTGGTTTTCTATACCTTGTAATATCAGGCGTCTTCATTTTTGTCAATTCTTATACCCATACAAATAAAGATTGTCCTTCAAAAAGTGCAGTTTCCCCCGAAGTTTAGGATAAAATTCTTTGATGACCAGAGGAAGACGTTTGAAAATAAAAAGGTACTTCCTGTGTTGTTTGTACGAGAGGAAGACTTCGCCCTCTCATTGATTATAGACACTGTACGTTTATATTTCTCATATATTATATAGTTTCAACAGTCTCCCAAAGCAATGTGCATAATAGGTTTACACGTGAATCCAACTACACACTGTGGATTGATAGAATCTCTATAAAAAACATTGTAGTTGTGTAAAATTTGCAGTTTTCACGGGCGCCCCTGCCCCTCAGCCTATCGAGGAGGCGACGAGCTGTGAAAATAAAGACATGGACTTTGCAAATGTTAACCTGTCCTCCTCTCCTGCTACAACTGGCCCGGCGGTTGCTAGGTAATAAAGGTTTTTTTCAGCTTTTATTATTATTAGTACGATTCAATGATGGCACAACATGTTTTGAGGAATATTATTGGGAATCCCATCTCAGCTGTTTTTTTTTTGTTTGTTGTTTTTTAAGGTTTTTCTCGTTTTTATTTAAAGAAAGCAAAAAAACCCAAGGTGGACATGGAAGCCTGGGTTCAACACTCCACTGCATAGTCTCTCTGAGCAACACCCACCCCCACCCTCTGTACTGTACCCACCCACCCACCCGGATATCACCCCGCCCGCCCGCCCACATCTTTGTGCTGGTTAGACTAAAGCTTTTCAGGGTTTGTTTGTGTGTATTCATACTAAATGTAAAA